CAGGGTAGTTTTAAGGTGACAACAAACTGTTTTTGAATACACAAAGGGGGTTTGAATTTTCGTATAGCTAAGGCTTCAATAAACCTTAGTATACGCCCTTTTACACTTTTATACAACACAAAAGCCGAGTTAAGATCGATCTTATGACCCGTTTCGATTATATGTTTGGCTAAAGAGGATGATGGATGTTTATCATCTACTCTTATTGGGTCATTTGATTCTATTTGTTTCTGTAACCATTTTGGTACATGTTCACACATCTATGGCTACAGGCTTTCTTTAAGACCAGTTATAATTCGTCCAATTCACTCACATTGTTTTCATCTAATTCATAGTTGTATCAGTCTTCAGAATTGTATTATTGATATTTTTAATAATTCCGAGAAATTTCTACATACTGTGTTAATGGTAGTCAGTTTGATAGTACTGAAGTTTTTTTCTTAATATTTATCCTAAATTCTTTAATCTCCTTTTTAAAGTTATAAATTAATGTTTTTGAAGAATATAAAATCCAATGCAGACTTTACACAGAGTGATCCCCATCCATGGTTGTAGTATTGATTATAAGCTTTGGAAGCACTGACGACATTACTAACTTTTATCAGTTTGCAAAGCATTATAATGTAGATATTCAGGTTGTTCATAATGCATTTTCATATGAATTCAGTTGAACACTAAAAGCTAACCCAGCTATTATGTTGAATATATATATATATATATATATATATATATATATATATATATATATATATATATATATATATATATCGTGTATAGTCCAAACCATATGTGACCTCAAACATTATAAACTGTTTTCATACCTTTTCCACAAATATTTAGCATAACAGTGTGAAAACTCCACACTGCTGAATTTTATACTTTTATAGTTTGTAAATCACTCAGTGTGATTTTTTGAAGTGGAACTATTTATCTAACCGGCTGGTGAATTTTAAAGGATTACATTGGAATAACACAATATATTGGTATCTGTAAAACATAACATTCAAGTTAACGATCACTTAATTCATGAAGGTTTCGGGATTTCAACATGTTAACTAATTATCAGTTTTAATCCCTACCGGTAACAAAATCTTTAAATATCAATCCTAAATCAGTGTATGGGTTGTCGAAATCGAGTTATTCACCTGTACTTCAGTGAGATAAGGGATAAAGGATTTAATAAGTAGTAATCGACATACTTCTGTAAATGAATATGTATCATAACCTGATTTTCCTGGGGTTGCTTATTTCAAAAATCTGATTTGTTTAATGATATGTATTAGTGAGTTTATTTGCTTGAATTCCAATGTTTGAAAAGGAAACTCAGATTTATTATTTAATTAATATGTGGTGCAAGCAGTATGAGATATCTTAATAGGATCAGATTAATCTCACAATATTTTTGGTGGTAATGTGGTGTGGGCTTCTTATATCGACATAAGTAGTATATATCGTGAGTCAGGAATAGAATATCTGGCAGCAGATTTAAAAGATCGAGAAGGGAAGAACAAAAAGCAATTGGTGTGGAAATCCATGAATAATGAATCCTGGGACAATTATTGAATATTTTGCAGACAGAGTATCAGAGTATGGTTTTTCTATTTTGTCAAGCAACTTTTTAATTTGTGTTTATTACATAGTCGGTTGTCATTATCTGTGTTCTCCTTCAATACAATAAAAACATCAAGACCATATTTTATGAGAAGTTTTGATATTTTCAAAATCGTAAGCAATATAGAATCGCAACACCTTACAAACATTAAGTTACCCAATCGAACGTAAAGGTTTTATTCAGTAAAATTACTTTATTGTTTTGCCTGTGTACTTTGTGTGTATGTAAATTAAGTAACGTTTAACAGCATTTTGTGTGACATTTCATACACTACAGTTTTCGCTTGACAATATTTCATTTTCGGATCTATATGACCTTATCGAAATTCCGACTCAACAAAATCCCGTGATTGGATTAGGATACGATAGCTATCACCAGTTACCTCAAAATTGCAGAAATTTCAATGAATATCAAGCAGCACATAACCTAATTCCAGGGATTACCGATAATTAAATTCGACGATTGGATATCAGTTAAGAGTACATTATAATGTTAGAGCGGTAATATTAGTGGTCATATTGTAGATTCTTTTGATGAGCATTAAGAAGTTAAAATGTCAACTATTATTACCGAGTGATCAATTAAAGTAAAGCCCGAAATTTCGTCACATTCTGATGATACGATAACCAACAAGAATTGACCATAGAAAGCCTCCATGATGAGTCTGTGCTTCTCCATTCACACCTTCAGTTTCTGCATGTCAAAAAAAATAAATTACTCTCCAACTGAAAATCACGTTCAAAAACGAGCACTTACAACAATACAAAGTAGCAACTTCAATTTAGATTACTTAAAAACAACATTGTGGGAATATTGAAAAAAGTACTATAAGTGAACCTACAATTTAAAGATGTCTGGGAGACTAACGTTTTATTGAAGGAAATTTTAAACTCATTTCGCAGAACATTTTCTACATTAAAGGTGAGAATATTGTTCAACGGATATTCATTTTAATGCGAACCATATGATATTCCTTTTCATATGCACATGTCAATTCATCTGTTGAGTGTGATTTCATAGATGATGGCCTTTCGATGTGAATTGTATCAGTGTTAAATGATATTTTACTGAAGAAGAGATGATGAAAGGTCTATGCGAAGTGTTCTGATTGAGTTCCTCAACGTTTTACGGTTCTGATCTGTTAAGAACCCTCTGTAGAAAGTTTCCCCATATATTTGTTGTCGATTAATCGACTGAATGAAAATAGACTCAACCTTTCTCGTAGAATTTGGACCTTTCAAAAAGATTATTGAAAAGCCGAATAAGTACGATCGTCATTTAAACAACACAATATCATCCATCAGAATATGAGTAAAAAAGAATTCCTAAAGCTGTTTGTTAGTGTCCACATAGGAGTCATTTGTACTTGTAAGAAAATTCTTTAGGTACCTTACAAACAGTGCTAGTAAGATATGATCAGGCAACTTTGTTCATTCAGATATATGTTGATTTAAGTGGGTGTGCATACAAGCCTTTTTAAAGAAACACATGGAGTAAAATGTAAGTCTGGATACTTAAAAACTTACAAAAAATCTCATACAACTTTCATTTGACGGATTTTTGTTGTGTTCCACTGTCAACCATTAGACGTACAGGAAGCCCCTCATAGAGTGCATTTGATCAAGGTATTAAAATGCGATATGGACAATATAAAACCTATCGTAACATTTTATCATCTTAGCGGAGTATTCATTTCTTCTTGTAGTTTTAAAATAAACAAACAAGGTACTACTGTTTGCTGACATCTCAGACATTATTAAAAATGTGAAAATCCTGTCATTATTTGTCTTAAAGGTTGACAATCTTTTGTTCAAGTGTGATGTTTTGCTAAGTGATAATTGTTTTGTATATTATTGCTCGCCTTATTCTGATCCCGATACAATAACTCCCCGTGTGTTTAAAATCCAATTTCTCAATCAAGTGTCGTTTTATTTTTACGTTCTGGACATACCTAGGGATTGTTAGTGAGTAAATTAGATTATTTACTACTATTCATCACAAATGTTACCTGTCGAAAAGCATATGAATTCAACTATGTGAGAAGACTGTTGATTTTATGTTACAAAGTACGTCATGTAACACTTCATTGGTTTGACTTTAGAGAGAGCTCGATTACTGGTTGCTGAAAAAATCAGACTAATCCAAAATCTCAATAGATCCTGATAAAGTTTTGTCATAATTTGCTGTAATCGTTATACATTGGTTTTATCTTCAGGTGACTGACTTGCTGAAACCGAACATTGAAGTTAAAATGGAAATAACTTAGAAAATAAATTTTCCACCTTGCTAAACAAACTTGGACACATATTACAGACACGCTTCCTATCATTATGTTACTAATGATGTCAATGTAAGGACAGTCAGTTTGAATAACCTAAAGATCGTATTTCAGGGAAGTCAAGAAGAATCGGAAATATTGTTCGTTTGAATGATACAGACTTGATGGATTGCGAGCAAAGGTAATCTTAGAGCGATGGATGAGTAAAATATTAGACTATAATCATCTGACGCAACACAATCATACGTAATGACTCTCAACGGTGCCTGCATTTTTTCAGGTGAAGTATTGAACTCTGGGAGGTTTCGTGTTTTAATGTTTGCTGTTAAAAAATGAGCCAGAAAATGTGCTATGGTATTTCTTATTCAATCATGAAGCTTTATTACCCATGTCACCCATACATGTCAGAAACTGAACTGTAAAGGGACCATCAATACTAAGTAAGATTTTCAATTTCATACTCCCTTGTTTACATTTACATTTCTCTATGCATTTATAAGGTCGCTTGACTTTATCACCCCTAATTTTTCATACATTAAACAGCTTATGCTGGTTTAATTTAGAAATTTATTATAAAGGCATAATTAATTACCCAACGCTGTAAGGAAGTGTTAGTTTTGACATAATTAATGAAAGCAGCCACAAAACTCCTGTCATCCTAAAAGTAATCTTCCGAAATCAGAGTCCTTAATAGTATACATCGCCGTTAAGATATAGTAGATTACGGATTTCAATCATAAGATCAAATCTAGTGAAATTAATCTAAGTAGTGTGGTATTATTCAGTGTGAAGCATTATATATTACTGTTGACCATTCCACTGATTTCAAAATGAATCACAAAATCCTAAAATCAAACATACAGACATTCAGTTAAATCCTGATTCATGATTTTTCTGTTGTTAGGTAGATTACCAAACTTTTGGAGACACAAATTTTTGTCTTACTATTAAATTAGCGTCCACCTACACTGACTATCCTATTTGTGTTTCTATTATGCTTGTGTTTTACTGTGTTGTGAAGATGCCAAAAATAAATCTTAAAGTATAAATAAACTTAAAGTTTAGTACCAAGAGGATTGGTCATTACATGAAATACCGACGCCTCAAGGTCTTTGTATTGAAAGAAATGCAGCACTTATAAAAATCAATGATTCGGTTTCTTTTGAAGTTTATGGAATAAGTACAAAACATGTGTAAAATAAATTTAAACATTTAGACAGGATGTTTTGAAATATCGTCTATTTTTATTTCATGCTGACATCCTTCTTGATTTCTTTTTCTAATAATCCCTCTATAAAAGAATATAGTGAATTAAATGATGGCCTTTCAGCTGGTGAAATATTCCAACATTCAAGCAATTTGTTGTAAATATTAATAGGACACATAAAAGTTTTCACACTTTTTTGTTTGGGAACCTCGTACTCATCATCTACAGGTAGAAGAGTTTCTGTAGAGGATATTTTCAATGTGGGACGAGGTAATCTGTAACCTGAACACACGCGTACCTTAACTTCATTCACAGTGAATTCTGAAATTGTGAAGAAAATGGAACAAAGATTAAACACTGCAATATGGAATAGGTATCTGAACCAAGAAGTAATAAAATGAATAACTGTTAATAGCTAACAGCGAAATTCTTTTTGTAAATCCTAGCAATAGTGTGACAATTTTTATCTTAGTGTTTAATTAAGAACGATCTCCTACAAATTGGAGGGGAAAATAAAAACCATACTGCTATCCAGTAATTCACTTTTGAGAATCAATAGTTTTTTTTGAAATAGCCTTTTCAGCAAGGTTTTGTGCTAAATCATATCACGAAGTTTATAAGACAATGTTACCCAGGTTTTGATTCACCCAATCCTTATCATTAATATGCTAAGTTCTCTTAAGAATAATTACCGAAATTCCTCTTTATTTATGGTCAAATTGTTTTCTCAAACAGATCCAGACGACAAGACGTCTTTATCAACCAATTTCGGACAATCGATTCTCTTTAAAACCATAATCACGATCATAATCTAGTGAGTTAATCGTTCTGACTATATACAACAACTAATTACATATCGTATCATTCTATCCAAGCCTTCTAAAGATGATATGTTGCAGTTATTGAAGCATTTTGTAAAGCCACTAGTATATATATATATATATATATATATATATATATATATATATATATATATATATATATATATGAACTTATATGAACTATATAAGACTTATTATTCATGCAATGGTCTTGATTACTTATCTAAACAGGTGCAAGACAATGAATTACTTGCTTATTACTAGCTTTTCCTTTGTGTACATTAGTTAATAACGTTATAGGGTTTTAGAATGTGAATTAAATTTGTGCAAATGTAGAACTCATCAGATAACAAAGGTTTTCGTAATAGTAATCGATAAAAATTCGTTAAATTTTTAATACATAAAACTACGGCAAATTGTCGCGATACAAAAAGTCAAGGAGATTTTCATCGTAATTACAAAGTTTGATGTAAAGTTGCCTTCCTCTGTCTCTAGTGAAACTAATAACTATATCATTTAAGGAATAAATATGCATGACAGTTGATTTAAGTGATCAGCAGTGTCTACTGGATTATATCAAATTTTTCGGTTAGTCTTATTCTTAGTTTATGGTTTATGCAACAAAAGATCATGTGATGGAGATGTAAATTCCAAATTATCAGTAACTGACTCAAACAAAAGCGGTAGTCGGCACAAAGAAAGTAAGTTGCAACAAATATGAAAGCAGTGAATTGTTCTCCTTAGATCTTATAATTTTTAATTAAAACCAAAGAAAATACTAAGAAACGAGTGAATTCCATAGAAATCGTTATAATTTGATAAGTAAATTTAATTTGCCAGTAGTAGCCCGGAGTCGGGAAAAGCTGTTACTCTCCCCTTTTATATTCTGATGGTTGACTGAATTATAAAGATCTCGATATCTGAGGGAAGGACAAAATACAATGAACATCTCGGAACCAATTAGACGATTTGGACTTCGCAGATGACCTAGCCCTTCTATTTCATACACATCAACAAATGCAGGTCAAGACAGTGTAGCAGCAGCCTCTTCATCAGTAGGCCTGAACATACACAAGGTAAAAACAAAGATCCTCAAATGCAACATGGACAACAACAAACAAATCACACTTGATAGAGAAACCCTACAAGAGGTGGGAATTATCACGTACCCTTACCTGGACAGCATCATCGATGAACAAGGAGGATCTGATGCAGATGTGAAGTTAAGGATTGGCAAATCAAGAGTCACATCTACTCTACTACAGTTCAAGAACATATGGAACTCAAAACAACTGTCTGTCAACCAATATCAATGTTAGAATCTTCAATACGAACGTCAAGATAGTTTGAGTGTACGGAGCTGAAACTTGGATAACTACCACACCCATCATCGAAGAAGTACAGTTACTTGCAAGCAATTGTCTAATCGGGATACTAAATGTCTGTTGATAGGATACAATCAGCAACAGTCTACTGTGGGAGAGAACAAACCAGGTTTCAACCGAAGAGGAATTTAGGAAAAGATGTTGGAAGTGGATAGGATATACATTACGGAAATCATCGAGGTGCGTCAAGAGACAAGTGCTAACTTGGAATCGTTAATGGAAACGGAAAAGAGGAATGCTAAAGAACACACACTGTGTGGAGAATTGTAAGCAGACATGAAAAGAACGAATAGAAATTAGGGAAGACTGGAAAGAATTTTCGAGGACAGAGTTGTATGAAGAATCCTCGTGAACAGCCTATGCTCCTCCACGTGGGTTAACAGGCGTAGCTATGTAAGTATCTAGTAGCCCTCTAATTCTGTTAGGTCGATTCATTCTGATTAGGCTATAGGGATTCGTCAGATATTTTTCGGGGAGTAGGAGAAGAAAACTATGATGATTTGTTAAAAGTATCCCAGTATTTATGGTGGCTATTAGTTAAAATTTTTAGTAATGAAATAATTAAATGACGTAAAATAATTTATGACAAGCAGACTCAGTAATCAACAGTAAAATTACTTTCAATACAGATGTGGAGATGATGTTTGTTAATGGATAAATCAGGTAATTTTCTGTAATCTAAAAAAATATATATTGTCAATTACGCTCATCTGGTTAAAATTCCTGTTCATATCTTTTTGATAGTATTTAGTGGCACTTGAATTCCCCAAGTGATGTATGAGTTAACATTTTAATTATGCTATTTCTAGTATCATTTCAACCACTACTGCAACATTATTTTGCTTAACACCATTATGACTCACAGAAAGTCGGAATACTGAGGTTTAAAACTAGACGTTATATCTTAGTCTGTATTCTAGTATTTTAATGCCTGTTTACGGACATGAACAGTAAAAGATTAATGCATCACACTACTGTTCAACTTATTTATTCAGTTAAGATATATTCGACCAATCCATTGTTTGTTTCAAAAGAAAATACTATTTCTCCCTGCCAAAGTAATTAACAAGTTCTATACGGTCATTTTCTTAAATTAAGCTAAGTATATTCTAAATTTTTCTACATGAAATATCAATTAAGATTACTTGTTTTAGTTCACATTTAAATCCTGTGACCTTTCAAGTTTTCTTTTTCTGAATCTTATTTACCAATCGAAGGATATTAGCTTGGAAAGTACAGAGTAAACTTCAACATCTAACTGCTAAATCATTTATGAATTCTACAATCAATTGACTTAACAGTAATTAGCTTCATACGAGTGTCGATTGTAATCTTTAGTAACTGTCGATCAGATTTCCAATTTCAAGTTTATCTACAGAGATAATTTAATGGATCTAGTTTATTTACATCGCTAGGAATCATAGAACTCTTAATAACCCGTGAAAACTGTTAAGCAAAGTAAACGTGCATTATAAATTATGGAGAACTCATTACTTTAATCAAGATTACATGGATAAATCTTTTATGAGTCTTATTTATTTTTTTTGTTCCCAAATATTATTCACTGGTTAAAGACTAACGCATTGCTACGTAACTCAGCTTCCAACGTTATGTCTCAAACGTGATTCTTCAAAAATGTCATTTTTCACAACCGAATTGTGTAACATTGGTTTCTCTTCTGCAACCGATGAACCTTCATGGCTTTGTCTAATAACGTCCGTAATTAAAACTCTTGGTGAAATATATCTGACTCCATAAAAAATCACTCATTTTTACTTGAATCTACTTATTCTTGTGACAGCAGGTGGAAACTTAATATAAGAAAATATTTGAACAGTTCTCCTGAATGGTCCTTCAAGATCTTTGAATAACGCATCTTCGGTTGATTGCACATTTTGTAAATACATTCGTTATAATAGATATACAAGTTTGACTGATTAGGCATTATTCTTTTCATATAAATTAGTAAACTGTTTGATCAAAAGGCTTAATAGTGATAAGTATTTGTTATCTTGATAACCTCTTATAAATAACGTCCGTCACTAAATGATACTGAAAATGCCATACAAGTACTTTAAAGGTTGCTGTAAAGTTTTCATTTGCTTGAGAAAAGCGTTTTGGCGTCATTTGGTTAATGTACAACAAAATGATGTACCACATGCAAAGTACACGTTATTACCCTTACTTAAGGTTCTAAAGAGAATAAACCTTTACCATTCTTAAAGCGAACGTCATGGACAAGCTAAGTATCTACTTATAATTGTCGTATTGTAGAGGAAATACATTCGTTTGAACAAATACACTGAATGTAGATCTTCATGGTAAACACAACTGATTAGAAAAAATAGCAGTTGTGTTTATTTTGAATATAATGTTTAACAAGCACATTATTGTTATTACTATCGAAGGTTTTTAGCAGTGTACAGTTTATTGAATGATGCCACAATGAAAAAGATGAATTATGATTCTCACTTGATTGAAAACTCGTCTAAATACCAAGTAATTCATCACACCTAAATTGTTGGTCTTATTTTGATGCAAACTGCCGTAAACATTTATCAGGTTTGCCAGATTGTATATACGATGTGTTGAATTTGAGATTACTGTATCCAAATCGATCACTGAATCCCATGAAACTAAGGAGTTGGAAATTTCGCTTGTATTTGGCCCTAGTTTATTAAGTCAACCCTGCGCCCTTATTACACAATTTCCTAGTTAACTTGAAAATTGAAAGATAGCATTCAATATGGTATTTGAAACTGCTATTGCTTGCGTTTTTACGCAATTTTAATGATCCCAGTTACACATAAAGCGTTTCATATATTACTATAATTAATCAAGTTCCGTGCAAAGTGGAAAAACTAGTATTTTGAGTGTGAAGATAGCTTAAGCCATATTATTGTTAGAAATACAAAGGACTGTAGTTTTAGGTTACATAAGAGTAAAAAAGCTAATAAACACTAACCAACCTTTGTAGGGTAATTCACAGAAGGTTAATATTTCATGAACCAGTATCCCAAATGACCACACATCTGACTTTGTTGAATAAGCATGCTTTAAAATCCCTTCTGGGGCTGTCCATCGAACGGGATATTTGGTTTCTTATGGTTTGTGATTTTTGTTGTGCGTTTGGTTGAGGTATAGATGACAGACAGAAAAAGTAATTTAATTATTAAAACAAGAGTTACTGAAAAAACGTAATGGTTGAAATAAAAAGTAATTGCTTAACAACATTTATATTGTAAACACAGATAAATGTCGGCTAAGAGTGGAATCCAAGACTTGTGTTTCATCCTTTTAGGGATTCTTTGACTGGATGTACTTGGATTCCAGAGTCGGATTTGACTGATAGCGACCATCTATATATGCTCATAATTCCTGTGGCTTAATAACAAGATCGAGGCAATCGGTACAGGATGCATATATCCCAGAAAAGACTGATCAGTTACAATGCTAAAAATCAATGGAGAAATTCGAAAAATGTTTTAAACACATACGTCTGATTTTTAGTTTTATATTTTATTAACTTATCACTGAAAACAATACCATATATGTTTGAGCTTTTTCATAGTAAGACTGGAGTCACCAATGTTTACCATATCTGATATTCATGACATATTTGGTTAATTTATTTAGTTTGAATTAACACAAGTATTGACATCAGGGTTATAATGCCAACAATAAAAAGCATCATGTGATAGGTGCAATGAAACACAAATTCTAAAATTTATTTATAATATGGACTGCATTCAAACTACCATTACATATAAAAAATTAAGTGAAATCAGGTAATAGGGTCTAACTTACCCAGTGTTCCAATGTATTCGTCTGTATCACCAAGCAAATGAGCCAAACCGAAATCTGCAACCTTAAGTCTATTTCTGCTGTCAACTAAAATGTTGCTGGCTCTTAGATCCCGGTGAACATAGTGCTGTTCCTCCAAATGCACCATTCCTCCGACAACCTTTTATTAAGAAAACAGGGAAAGTGTTCAAAACCTAATTATTGTTCTTAGTATATGAGATTATAGAGAATGTTGAATTGGTAGTTTTACATTTTAGCCGTTCAGTGCTTCTCGGTTCTCATTGATTGTCCAACTAAAATAAGACTGTGATACCAGTTTACCCGTTCACGTTACATGAAACACATCATGTCAACTAGTTAACAAACGTTTTTTGACATTTTAGTATAAACAGCTTGGTAGCATTTCTAAGTGTCACATAGTTTTACTCAAACCAAACTAGACGTCAACCTATGTCGTGGATATGACGCTGTCAGTTTTAGACGTAATTTGTTTTTATGGAAGTATGGTTGTAAAGTGGATTATTTGAAATATCAGTACGACACTTCAGAGATGGGCAGCATCAGTCGTTCATGAATATTACATGTGCAAATAATTAGAAATTCACTCCTAGTTCGTTATTAGAACAATAACTAGTAAATTATTGCTTATCTTTGTTTAGATTTCGATACATCCATTTTATAAATCTTTGCTCATAAAAGTAAACTTTCATTCAGTTTGCGGATGAACTATTTCGAAAAATTGTATATATCAACCAACAGTATTATAATGATTTAAGGAAACGAAAACGTCAAAGAAACAGAAACATGTCTAGCGACGCATCCACTACATAAAAACTTTGCTAAGCTGAAATTGAATTCGCTTCCTTAATTTTTATTCCTGGATTGTTAACTTCACTTGATTCTTGTTGAATAGAAGTGATTTCACATAATACTCTACCGAACGTCTTTAAGAGATTGTATGACATTGCCTGGAAGTGTGTTCTCAGAATATATTTGCTGGTGAAAAGAATTGAGACTGAACGTTTATTCCGTTTACAAAACTCACGTCTTTTATCATTTCAAGTAGATTCTTCATTCTGATTTCTACGGGATTAAGCTTCTGCATATACTGTTTCAAAGATCCATTCTCCATTAATTCACTTATAATGTAAGTTGGTTCATTAATAGGAAGTGTGCATACAGCCAAAATTCTGACTACATTCGGGTGATTCAGTCGGTGCATAAGTTCAGCTTCATTCAGAAATCTTGTACGATTCATGTTACCATTCCCAAGTAATTTTTTTATCGCTACAGGCACTTGATTATTCCACGTTCCATGCCATACTTCACCAAAGCTTCCTTGTCCAAGTTTTTTAATGAATCCAAAGTTATTTCGGTTTACTTCTAGTAAAGATAATTCTGTTGGTGGCTCATAATTTTTCGGATATGGTGTAGTTAAGCAGCAGGCGATTCCATCGGCATTTACTTTATAAGACAAAACGTTGGTTATTACAGCCAAGAAGTAATTAGGATAGCTGATATATCATTGTGACGAGTAGAAACAAAAAATTTACTTACGTTAAACACACGATAACTTCAACAATTTTCCATGATGAATAATAAATGTGAATTAATCTACATTTTCTATGGAACTTCGAATAAAATCCATTGTTTATAAGTCATTACATTTGAACAAACTAAACCGATAAACTGTAAACTATTCACATAGAGATCTACAAACAAGACATTATCGGACACATTATTTCTAATAGGGGTTAAAGTTGGGAAGAAAGGGTGGATGGGATGTAACAAGCTGAATATCATCCCCGTTACCTTTTTGTTAAGGAACCGAATCAGACGATATTATATCGTGCGTTTTATCGTTACCTCTGTGTTTTTTTCGAGATCACCGGCGACAAGTTCATTAAGATATATCTGGAGTAATCTAAATACGTTGGTTAAACATAGTGATTTGCTAATAGTTAATAGCAGTAGATCCTTATTTTGAATGAGTTTGTTTAAAAATAGAGAACAATGTCGTGCAGGTTTGCTCACTTCTTGAGGTACAATGACATATAATAAACACTATGAAATTTATGACTGAAATTCGATAGCTAATTGGAATTAATTCACAAAAGCGGTTTTATTATTACAGAATAAATTCCCTATTTTTTTAAAAAACTAACAGTTTTCATTAAGTATAGCGGAAACATGATTTGATGATAAGCAAGATATTATGAACTACTGAACATGAATTTGCATAGACTGTGAACAACCCTTGTCAAACATAAAGATATTTTCAATTGAAATGAACTTCCATTGATTAGAGCTATTTATGTCATTGGAGGAATTTGACATAGATTATGTTTTCGATCATCGTTTCTGGAAATTTGTGGGACACTGACACAGCTGTCTTGTATAACCCCCTTATTCACCTAAAAACTTAATGCTTTTTATCTAGAGGTTGATATCATATTGAACAAATTGTTTTATTTACACCCCAGTTTGATACAAAAATATTTCAAGAACTTGGTGGAGTATAAATGTAGCAAAAGAAGCAACTTAAAATTTTCCATTTTATCTGGATTCTTATAACAATGTTAATGAACTTTATTAGAAAATTTGATTGTCTAACCTTTATTTCTGATTGTTACATAATTAATTATGAGTATTTTATTTCTAATGTTTTGTGAATAGGAACATAATTGTCCGTGATTTACCTGTATAATGTGCCAGCAGTTGATCAATAGTCGGAAATGAAATGCGGCTGAATATATGGTATTTTTCATCTTTTATTCTAAATCTTATTCGGTAATGCTTCACTGACCAAATCAGTGTCGATTGGTCCAAATATCGTACTGACAGAGCGAATGTTTTATCTGAATCTAAAAGTCATATAGAAAACGCCAATAAATGTCATTTGGTTTAACTCCAGATGCCAGTCTGGAGTCAATAATAAGCGTACTAACTATAGCATGTAAAGTAAAACTATGTTCGCCGGTGAGAAGTATCAGTTATTGATATCTAGTCAGTTACTGTTGGAAACATTTCCAGTCTTTGATTTATTTAATCTTTTCAGTTCAAATGATGACAAATATTAGTTAAATTTAACTTTTGAACTAACAAAACGCAGATTCATGAAAATCTAATTCTGGTTGCATTTCTATTTAAACAGAATAAGGTACATTCGATAGAAATCACCATATATAGTTTGAACTAGCATTTCTGTGGTTTAAGGTTGTCTTAGAAAACTAAGATCCTCTACGCGTGTAGTAAGAAGTAATATATATACATAACCAAATAAAGAAAATAACCTCTTTTACAATCAGTGTAAACACTAATAATATTGAGGATCATATAAATTAATCTAAATTAATAATAGCATTGTGCAAAGCAGTATGCAATGTATTATGTATGGGTGAACTAATTAACTGTGTTTACTACAGAAGTGCAAATTATTTCAAGACTAGTTTTTTTCAGTTAACTCCATTTAATTGTCATAAAAATTGTGGTGGTTCGTCTGTTCAGCTTTAAATCAGAAACTAGGACCTACCATTATTTCCAAGGTTTTAATTAATAATATATAAGATATTAATGAATGAATTCGTCTTAATTATAACGACAAATGCAGTTAACAAAACGTGTTTACATCAGCTATCATAAATAAAATTAAATGCCCATGTCATATTTTAGAGTACCTAATGATCAAATGTACAATTGATGGACCTAAATGAATAATTTTTGGGAACGGTACATGCGATTTCTCGTTACATATAATTATTTTTCACAATCATCCTAATTACATGCTGCTAAAAGCATTTTAACTAATGACCCTCAACTGGGTTTTTATGTCTGCATGCTTAAAATATACATCAAGATGACTGAGTAACAGATCAGTTGTCCCAATGCCCTTATTTGATAAAAATTGTCTTGAAGTCTATAATCTTCAAGACTGTCATCATGGATAGCTGGCTAAGCTGATATTTTGGTGTGTAAATAATTTGTTACTTATAATATACATAAATTGTCAGGTAGTCATGCTACATTGACTTATATTGATATGTATTTGAATATCATAGATATTTATCGATGTTAAGTAATTATGAAAACCGAAAGGATATTTGTGTTGCCGATTCAATAAAAATTAGTTACCTGAAGATGGACGTATAATATAAGTTCCCGACGGGTTACCCATTAGAAGCAGTAATCTTTCTGCTTCATTTCTATCAATATCAAACCAGGAAATGTGGGTGGTTAAGGAATTACCAATGATTTGCAAATATTTTCCTGGCACCAAACCTTTCCGTGAACAGTGGTTAGACATATGCTTTAGCTCAATTCTTTCAACTAGCCAAAAATCTTCATCTGTTGTTAATGAGCTTGATCTACCTTGAATTATATTAAGTGGAGTCGACATGCGATCAAGTATCAATAACCTTTCTCCTTCTGAAACATTTAATTCATGAGGATATTTTTGAGAATAAGTCATTTTGGCTACAGCTACAAATGGTAGGACTCTCCTTTGTTCACCTGAAAGCTTTCGATAATTTGAAATGCTACATGTTGAATCGCTACTCAAGTTCTGTTTATTTTTCTCACATAGCCATTCTTCATAAAAAGGTTGTACAGGTTTCACTTGATCTTTGTTTTCATCTGACATGATTTCGTTCATAGAACATTTAGACATAATGGGAGGGCTAGAATTTATATCAGTAATTTGTGCACTTCCAGTAGTTCTCTTTTTTCTTGGATAGATCAAGTTCATTAATTGCATTGTCTTTCCGCAAACGTCTTCACTGGTTATTTTCTTTAACTCAAATCCAGGTGACAATTTTTTTGCGTCGTCTTTTTTGACGTCATATGGTAAGTATAAACTTTTCAAGTGACTGTCGAGTGAACAGCTTTCCATCCCACTATCCTCGTTTGTAATACCTCTTCTTTTATCAGAATTTCGTTTTACTTCTACATTTGTAGTATTTTCGGCAGTATAAGGTAATTGTTTTTGAGTTTCGCTTAGGGTATCTAGTTCTCTGTCGATGGATGGAGTCGTAAATAGTTCCAACACTGGTCGTGCAAGCTGCAAATTCCACTTCATGTCCTGTTTAACTAAAACTGAAGATACGTTAATTTTACCGGTGTTTTGTGGAAATAGCTCATCACTTCCAAGTGAATTGGAGTGAAAATCACAACTACTTGAGTTATCGTTGTGAGCCTGGCGTGAGAATATTCGTGTGAGTAAAGGAAGTTTTATATCAGAATCCATTTCGTTTAGACCGAAAGCATTGGGACTACTTCCATAATCCATTGTTTCACATGTGTTGCACTGTAAGATTCCAAAACTGTTTGTTATTTGATCCGCTTGAGGTGCGTGAACCATGTCGTTCAGATCGATACCAGATGGAATACAGTTACCCATTTCCGTAAATACACATCACTTGATCAAGGGACTTCAAGTTGGTATGTATTAATAATAATAATAATTTAGTAAGTAGCATCAAATTTTATTATCTATTCATGAATCAACCTCAACAAATAAATAATAATTTTACTATGCAATAAAAGTTTAAATATTTGACCATGTATCTATATCAACCAACCAGGATGTTGAATTTTACGGCTGAATTTTGTGATACATAAAACACGTCAGCAAAATGTATGTCAGTATTTTTATCACCACAGTTGAGTCTATTGATATAATATGAATATAAGCCTTAATTGACTGATATATTATTACAATCAAACAAATAACTATGAATTTTTAAAAAATTGTAGTTAAGTATTATACACTTGGGGATTATATCGCCAAGCTTCTAATAAATATTTGTGATATTACGAAGCTATGAAGATTAACTTCACATGGTATTATTTACATTGAATCTCCCCATTGATGTTTAGGACTGAAATCGATCAGTCTCTTATTGGCATATGTGCATACTGTACGTATTGCCTCAATATTGCTGACGAGTCCAGAATAGGACAAAACGCGCGTCCTGGATTCCACTGGTAACCACTATCCATATTTGCTTATGAATCTATGACGATTTATAAATAGTCTCCGGGATTATATATCCCAATTAGTTTATGGAAACATGAATGAAAACAATGTATTTCCAACAAAACATTTGAAATATTCGAGTAAGAGTTAGGCCACATAGTAAAGCAGTATTTGGTTTGTTTGAACAATATTTTTAACACAAAGTATCATCTGACAAACTGCGACGAGACTATAATCTATGGACGGATCAATTAGATTTAAGATAGCAGGTCCTGGATTTCGGCGCGAAACCCATCTACTCATTTGGCTAAATACCATTTTGTCATTATAGATGATATCACTTCGTTATGAAAACATTGAACGTAATTTCTAACACTAACGTACAACTCTAAACCCTAATTCCTTGCACTAATTTATAACCTTCATTTAACCATACTAGGTAGGTAGACACTTTTAAGGTCATTTCAGCGTTGCTCAAAGATCGTCCATAAATTATAGTCCCATCCAGATATCATGTCTGCTTATTTATAGTAGGCTAAATAAGCTGTCATTGACTGGAGGTAGTCAATTTTAATGTATAGGTTAATTTCCATATAATTACTCTAAAATAAACTACTTGGTGAGCGAATACGCATTTATGAGTAGTGTACGAATGACCTTCTTTGTCAATCAGTAGGGCCATTCACACTAAGCATTTTGAGCAATTCTGTTAAGAGATAGGAATTGACAACTTTAAACAATCGTATAGCTCATAACATAAAAGTATAACTTCGAACAGATGACTACTACTGACAGCGATAATGCGCGGGAATTAGACATGACCGATGAGAAACACCTTAATCAGGCATTCACAATGATCAACATACCATTTTTATTTTGAAAAGAAATGGCACATTTATATGATTTCTTTCACAAAAGAAGGACATTCATGAAGTATATTTATATTTGTATGAGATCAGTGGCTTCGTTAGACGTTAACACGACGTTTTCAAAAGTTCTTTGCCACAGAGTGATATTTAAAACTAGTGCAAATATTAAATTCAATCATAATAAGGCAAAACAGTGCTCGGATCAAGTAAATTGACGATAAATATTCCTTACGTACTTCATTTATCAGGTAGATACATCAAAGTAGTTTTATGGGGTATTGGAAACATGTAACGAGCATTCCTTTTCTTTATTAAGTATAAATTCATATACCAATATTGGGAAAACAAAAAAATGTCAACTGGGGATTCAGCGAGGATCTCTACATTTCTACAAGCTGTGTTCGGTCACATCCTAACAGGACAATATGAACATAATATCTATCACTAATTCTTTCGATTTTCCTTAGATAAGTTATCCCATTTTTAGCACTAAATCCCAAGCAGCATCCTTTAGCTTATAGTTTTTATCACGGTTAAAAAGTCATAAAATCAGTTCAACTTGTTCCATACGACAGAAATTCGAAGACATAGGCTGAGTTTTGAAATTGACTTCATACCTACAGCAATAATGCGATAAACGTATATAATATGGAGGGTTTCCTTTTAAGTCCCTTGCTTCACAAATAAACGTTAAGTATATTTGTAGATAATAGATTTTCCATAAATGAAATCAAGAATCGATATAATCTGGACCACCATTAAAATTTTGGAAGCATAATAAGTCCTCAAATTTTTATAGTATATTTGAACCACTAGTTTACTCTGCTTTGTGGTGACACTAACACATCTCTTATACTCTCAGTTTATATTGATGTCTAGATCTGAGTTCGTTCGTTTTTAGCTTCACCCATGAAAATATTTAAGGAATATGACTAGATTTTCTAAGGGTTTGAAATTTATGACTGTGGTTTAATCGACGAAGCAACTACATTGAAGAGCTGTGAAGCCGATTTTGAATGATTCATAAACTATAATTCAGTGTACTAAGCCATCTATTGCTTATTTACTCGTTGACCTGTGTTAAATGGGTTTGTAATCAGTGAGTTTCACTATTTAACTAGGTAAATTTACTCTCCTTATATTACAACTTACCATTTATAAGCTTTTCAGCAAAATGAATTCGCTTTTACATACAGATTACTTTCATTATCGAATTAATGATGTTTGGTTATCAAGTTCTACACGTACGTAACTAATATCCTACATAATTACATACCTTATTAACATGTAGAATTCAGTCGCTAAAGCCTCACAAACGTAATAATTCCCAAGTGTAAATTGCCCGCTTTATATGGCGTTTTCTGGTAAAGAAGTGTTGTAGTTTTTTTAGGGCAATAATGAAGTGTATCTTTTGGACGAATACACACATATACACGTAAATATGGGTTTTTGAGATTGTTAAATTTCAATGAAATCACGAGTTTATCTAAGTTAGACCACTATTGTAAATCTGGAAGCACTGGACAGCTGTTTCATTCTAGCATAGAACTCCTCAGTAGTGCATATCCATGACTTCACAGCTAGGAATCGAACCGAAAACCTTCGGTCTCCTATGCAAACACTTAACTTATAGACCACTTACCTGTCTAGTGCTTTCAAGTATTCAGTAGTGGCTATACTTATATCGGTTCATAATTTTAGTGAAAAAATTACATTAAATTTGGCACTGAGGTCAGTAGGGTTTTTTTTCCATTATTAGTAATCTCTCACATCCACACACACATATATACGAGGTAAAATGAATATTAGCGTTCTAAATAATTCAGTGTCAACTGGTATTTTTAACTTGAAAATTTTACGTTCAAATGGGTTTTATGTCATTCAAACTTTCTTCTTTGTTTTGTTTCCGGGTCCATAAGTGAATCATATTATACATATACGTAGAAAATGAAATCAGTTACTTCGAAGATGATTAATGTCCAGACAAGCAGCGCATGTCAAATGATAAAGTAGATTTTGTTTTTCCAGGAAGTAAGAATTTTCGGAAAACTAATTTGATTCAATAAATGTAATTACGATACAGAAGCTTAGTAGTTTATCAAGAAAGTTATTCGACTATGAAGCCGCATACGACTGAACACATATGAGCAGTTTTTAGTAGCTAGAATACGGTAGTTCATTACATTATTAAAGCAAACGTTACACTTCCAAATTTAATTTTGTTATTTAGTTAGCACGATTTGAATGATCTTAGTATAATTATACTATTATATTTAGAATACTTCACTGATTTGATCGGTTTCAAACAGTAGTGATATTATGGCTGTTTTAGGTGCCATACTAATCATTTAGAGGGTAAAACGGTTAAAGCAGATAAAATATCAAAATCAAAACAGTTCGCCGCCTACTTTGTCGGTAAAGCAATCAAGAACAAAAATCTGAATATCCGTAATTTATAGTGCTCATAACGACAAATTAAGTTTTTTTTTGTTTTCATACAAAGTGAGGATAAATAAGACGTTAATCAGTAAATATTTTTCAAACTAGCACTGATGTTTTGTACAGTGTCTTGTCAGATAATTTAACTAAATTGTCAAAAGACAGATCACATATACATCATACTAACTGAAGTATTTTTCTCAAAACGACAGTTATATTTAATATTTCTACCTTCATATTTGAAAATATAGCCAAATGTTTGTTTTACGTTTAATATCATAATCTTTTTGAATAATCTCACGCGCTAACATTCAAATTTGATTTTTCCACTTAGAAACTAACATAATCTTAAAGTAAATGTTTATGGAACTGGATAACTTGAGTAAAATAAATTCATCTGATGAAAAAATGGCATACTCAAATAACTTCACTAAAATGAAAAGGTGCTGTGAAAATAGCTAAAATATGGTTATATGGTTAAAGATAAGCCAGGTATTATTTACATATGAAAAACAATAAATTATTCAGAAAGTGTGTTAACATGGACAAGATTTTAAATTGTCATGGAAACTTAAAATAATGATGATGTTTTAAATCAAAAGAAAAACGTATATCAAGGCATTAGTAACTTCTTTACTGAATAATCAATGAACGTAAGTAATGAACGGACAGTGAAGTAAAAATTCATGAAAAATAATCACTACGCCTGAACATACACAAGGTAAAAACAAAGATCCTCAAATGCAACATGGACAACAACAAACAAATCACACTTGATAGAGAAACCCTACAAGAGGTGGGAATTATCACGTACCCTTACCTGGACAGCATCATCGATGAACAAGGAGGATCTGATGCAGATGTGAAGTTAAGGATTGGCAAATCAAGAGTCACATCTACTCTACTACAGTTCAGGAACATATGGAACTCAAAACAACTGTCTGTCAACCAATATCAATGTTAGAATCTTCAATACGAACGTCAAGATAGTTTGAGTGTACGGAGCTGAAACTTGGAGAACTACCACACCCATCACCGAAGAAGTACAGTTACTTGCAAGCAATTGTCTAATCGGGATACTAAATGTCTGTTGATAGGATACAATCAGCAACAGTCTACTGTGGGAGAGAACAAACCAGGTTTCAACCGAAGAGGAATTTAGGAAAAGATGTTGGAAGTGGATAGGATATACATTACGGAAATCATCGAGGTGCGTCAAGAGACAAGTGCTAACTTGG